GAAGTTCAACGACCTTAATATAACAGATTATTCAAAGGATGTTATCAATCGCTCATTTCTGCATGTTTATTATTTATGAACAGGCTTATCAACACTCTTCAGCCCGGTTCTGTGAAAAAGATCAGCAACTCTCCTCAAAACTGGCATCAGGTGAGCAAGAATATCACATTCTCATGTTTATCTGGGGTTTTAAAACATTTTGAAGGCCTTATTGTGGGATCAGAACAGAAATCAGTAACATATTCCAGGTATTTTTTTAGTTTCCATATTCATGCAATTTACACAGTTACAAGTTCTTTGCCAATTAGAATGCTTGTGTCATTCAAAAAATCGAATAAGCGCTGATCTTCTGTTCCAAATATAAACAGGGTTTCTGGTGCCTTTGGAATCAGTTGTGCGTACTTTCAGATTCCTGACAAATCACAGAGCACGTCACTTTATTCTTGGTTTGGCCTTGTTTGTTGCAGCTGGAAAATATTGGTAATTTCGTCCGAGCCATTCAAGAGTATGGACTGAAGCCACATGATATATTTGAGGCCAACGACCTGTTTGAGAACGTCAACCACACTCAGGTCCAGTGCACGCTTATTACACTGGCTGGGATGGTGAGTCACACATTATGCATTTTAATACAGAAATGATAAGGACTAAGTCAAGACTGAAGACTAAGGACTTCTGTATTATTCCTACTTTTTATTTCTAAAGTTCATAGTAAGGAGATTCATATGGGAGTGTTTAACTGTTAGCAGAGAGATTAACATCAAAACATGTGGTATTTGAGCTGGATGATCAGTCGTTTTTCCACAAACCAACAATCTAGTAAACACCAAAAAAGGAATCTCTCTTCTCTTTGTGTGTTCAACGTGTAAGAAGTTACTTGCACGTGTTTGTTTTGTATATGAAATAATAACATCCTCTACTTCTATGCCTTAAATGGAAAATGTCTGGTTCCTTTATTATTTACTTTTATTTAGCTGTCATTATTTTGAAATGCAGGCAAAATCTAAAGGCGTCCATTCTAAATACGACATTGGAGTGAAATACGCAGAGAAACAACAACGCAAATTTGCTCCGGAGAAACTAAAGGAGGGACGCAATATTATTGGTCTGCAGGTCAGTAGTTGTTCATCAGTAATAACCTTTTTTCTTTGTATATAAAAATAAATGATTTTTTTTTTTAATTAAAGCCTTATTCATTGAAAAAAAACAAAAATCAAGAAAATAAAATTAACCAAAAAGTATAATGATGCCTGTTACTGCGATTTTATTAAATCAAATTCAATTGTATCTGTTATATATTAGCATATTAATATTATTTTATATAAGCATTAATGTCTTATTTTTATATTTTATATTTATTTACATTTTATTTTTATGCATATATTATACAGTGTTATATTATATATTAATGTTTTTTAAATTATACACTACATTTAAAAAGTTTTTAAAAAAGTTATTAATACTTTTTATTCAGCAATGATACATTGAATTGATCAAAAGTGACAGTAAAGACATATGTTACAAAAAAAATTCCATTTCAAATAAATGCAGTTTTTTTAAAACTTTCTATTCCTCAAAAATACTGAAAAAAAAGTATCACAAAAATAAGTTCACAATAAGTATCACAAAGTTTCAGTATTGATAATAATAATAATAAATGTTTCTTGAGCAGCAAATCAGCATATTAGACTGATTTCTGAAGGATCATGTGACACTGAAGACTGGAGTAATGATGCTGAAAATTCAGCTTTGATCACAGAAATACTGTAACGGGGCAACTGAGAAGAGAGGCGTGCAGATCCATAAGCAAACTTTTATTAATAAACATGGTCAAAAAACACAGGCAGGGTCGAACAACAGCAAACAGGTATGGCACAGGCAAGACAAAAGAGCAATCCAAAACGGGCTTGAGTCAGACGACAGCGAGCGTTATCCACAGGGCTTGACAAGAGAGGTAATCCGTAAATGTGAGCAATAGTCCAGGCGAGGGGCAAACACAGTCCGAAACGGCAAGGCAAAAGGTAAATCCAAGATACGCGGGCAAGAATCAGAAACCAGGAAACACAACGAGACTAGGCTAAGACTAGAACTAGGAACTAAGACGGAAATGGCTCCGTAAAGTGCTATCACTTGGAGACCGATATGTTGAATGGTGGTGTGAGACTGATTTATATAGTGTGTGTTATTGGTAGCATCTGTGTGTGATTGGTTTCAGGTGAGCTTGTGATTAGTGCAATGGAGCATGGGAAATGTAGTCCAGGGTGATGTGTAACAGTCTGTTTAGTGTGAGAGTCCATGTGGAGAGCGGGTGACCTCTGGTGGTGAGTGAACGGAAGTTTATAGACCGGATTCGTGACAAATACATTATATTTTAATACCTATACAAATAGAAAACAGTTATTTGAAATTGTAATAATGTTTTACAATATTACTGTTTTTACTGTATTTTTGATCAAATAAATGCAACCCTGGTGAGGCTTCTTTCAAAAACATTTAATTATTAATGAACAAAAAAAAAGACCCATAGTGTAACAGTAGTGTATGTATGTTATATAATTTCATTTTTACGTGACGAGTCATTCCTTATCTATAACATCTTCACAGTTATTTTTTTCCTCACTCATTTGCGTTTTCAGATGGGCACCAATAAGTTTGCCAGTCAGAAGGGCATGACATCTTACGGCACACGGCGCCACCTCTATGACCCAAAGACGGGTATGGAGAATCCTCTGGACCAATCAACAATCAGCCTGCAGATGGGCACCAACAAAGGAGCCAGTCAGGTACTCAAAACGCTTTCAGAATTTCACGCTCTTAAAGGTCCCCTGAAATGCTTAGAAACACGCAGCGTTACTCTATGTGTTGACGTCATTTTAACTGAAACAGGAAGACGGCGGGACATATCAAGCATCCCTGCCCTTTTTTTAAAATAGCCAATAGCGTTCGTTTATATCACAGCTTGGGCTAGAGCCGTTGAGCTCGGTAAAGCCGCATTTGACAGGGTATGCCAGCCACAATCTCATCCATATTGCTATAAAATATAGCATTCTGTGTAGAATTCAAATAGCTCTGATACATTTTGTGGTCTGCGCCGACTCGCG